AAAAAAGATAATATTGATTTAAGAATAAAGAACTTGAAGAAATATAAATTGCAATATATTTTTCTGTACTTCTGTAATTTTTATATAACATTACGTGTGAATTGATAATAATTAAAATATTGGTACTAACTATGCTATAATATAATAGTGATAATAAAATTTATGATTGTACTTAATCAAAGTAATTGTAATGACTTTCTATCAAAAATAGCTAAAAAAAATAGACGGGAAACGCTACTAATAGAATGAATAACGTGGAAGGAAAAACAATATTAATGTTATATGTTTGGAAGTCGCGTTCCGATGAGAATGTTCAAATGAAAGAAATAAGAATATATCACAACCATTAAATTATATAATCCAACATCTAAAAAAAGTTAAAATTACTAGTACAGAGCCCGTGCGATGCACGGGGTGCACAATTTTAAGGCCATATATCCAGCCTTATAATTATATAAATAAATAAAAAAGATGTACGAGATAGTACGTGACCTGTGCGAGACAGGAGATATATTCATTTGAGGAGTATTATAATTTAATATGCAATATTTAATAAAAGTTGTACAATACACAGGAAAATTGTACAATAAAATAGTATTGAAAAAAGAATCAATCATATATTATTAAAGACCTCCTTGTACACAACATTATAAGTTTGATTATCGGGTAACTCCTCATTCTCACAAATTAATATCTTCAACCCCCTTCTATTAGTCACACGCGAAACAGCAACATATAATTGACCATGACTAAAGACATGCTTCTTTAGAAAAAGACCAACGTGGGATAAAGACTGTCCATGACTATTGTTTATGTTCATGGCATACGAAACCATAAGTGGGAACTGCCGCCGCTGAAACTTAAATGGAACCCTAAGATCAGAAGGAGTAATATTCATTTTAGGAATCAACACTGTGTCGCCAGCATGATCACCAGTCAATATCTTGCATTCAAGACAAAAAAAAAAACAATAGGCTTGGATCATCCATATTTCACATCTTTTAATAAGTGGCGTTAATTTAAGCCAAAAAAATTAACATGTTAATTAATATATAATTCCGCTAACACGTCATACTAATATTTATTTGATTTTAGAATACATATTTATTCATTGATATAAGAAAAAATAAAAATTTTATTAATTATTGTTCACCATATAATACTCAATTATTATTTTATTATAAAATTTACAGTCATATAATGTAATTGTTATTATTTATGAAAGTTATAGAAGTAGTCTTCTTTATGCAATGAAATTCAAAATAAAATTTTGAGTATAAATGTTTACAAAATACACACACATGTTTTTTAGAATTCAATTTTCTCATAATAATTCTTTTTTTCATCATAAGGCTTTATAGTTTATTGAACATACTATGCAATACCCGAGTGTCACATTTATTACCCTGTTGGGGTCCGACACTCGGTATTACCCTGTTGGGGTCTTTGTGTTGTTTGTTTGTGTTGTTTGTAGTGTTTTTATTACCCCTTTGGGGTCGTGGTCGAGTAGTTGGTCTGTTTAGTTTGAGTTTTATTTTAGCGTTGCTAGCGGGATTCTAGGCGGGCTTCTGACCTGTCCTCCCAGTTTATTCTCCCGTTGGGAGCTTTGTATTTTTATTCGCACATTTGTGCGCTTTTGATTTATAATAGTACATCTATCGTTCCGGAAAAAAAAACATACTATGCAATAGAAAAATATTTTACTAACTCATTTTTGAAACATAACAAAAAAAAAGTGATAAAAATACTATCATAGTTGACAATAATATACAAATAAATAACATGTCAAAATTTTAAAGAATAACTAATATAATTTATTATCTAACCATCAATAAAATAATTTAATGATGTGATCATTATCTTTTAAATAATAAATAATATTAATTTTATAAAAAAATATTAGTGTTATATAATTAAAGAAAGGTTAAAAAATATTACTCGACAA